CCCGAGGAACACCTAAGGGTTAAATATATCTTATTAAATATGTTATTTAATATAAACACAGCCAGCTGCTGGTTAGCTTAGCCCAAAGATGAGAACAACATTCGCTTTGCGCTCCATTCAAAATCTGGCTGCTCACATTCTCTGCTAGCTCACGCTCTGCTCATGTGTTCTGGTTAACACGTTATATATTGTTTTCAATCTGTACAAAAACCAAAGCTTGTGTGTCGGACTACTTTTTAAAGAAGACTTTCCTGAAATGACAAAAAGGCAAGAAACGACTCAGACGAGTACAGTATGTGTATGGCTTTAAGTAAAACATGTCATTAACTGGTTAAACTGTCAGCTTATTTGCAACCTGTATGACTGCCTGACCTCTCATGATTCTTACTCTTGCTGACTGTTATCATCATAACTTTATATATTAAACTGTACCCAAGTGCTTGTAGTTGCAGAACAAAGAATCCTCCAAGGGTCCAGTGATCAGTCGTCACAACTCTCATGCAAATATGGAGGAAGTTAGCAGAGTGAGAATTATTTTCTTCATGATTAGTCATAAGTCTACTCTATATTAGACATTTTCAGTTTAGCAAATGCTACATACATGGCATAAACATGTTTAGGCAGGTTGTAAGGGTGTGTAAATTAGGATTCAGTCGGTTTCATTGCACCGTTCATTTTACTGACCATGCTGGATTCCCATAGACTCCCGTGCTGCCACTCACACGTCTGCATTTGCATGAACATACACATTAATATGGCACTCAGCTTTCACCAGATAGACAGAGTGTTTGCATTACTGTCACAATATGACAGAGCAAATAAATGCTTTTCCATTGTGGCAGACTAATAAAGCCATGCCACTGATTGACACACTCTTTACATTTAGCTCTTTTTTTTTTACTTTGAACATTACTTTGAAGAGAAGAGGCATTTGGCTGAGGCCAGTGTGTGTGTGAGCTGAACTCGCTACCTGAGATATAATTACGTTTGCCAGAGTAATGAGTGTTAACTCTTCTCTCAAATCCAATAAAGAACAGGACATAGCCACTAACGTCTTACTTAAAACCGCATCCAGGACCTGCTTCTGCGCACTAGGGATCATGAACAATACTTTTTATTTAATGTAACTTGAAACCACACAAAATGATGTAGTATAAAATGCTCCTTGTCCTCAGAAGTAACACTACATTAGCAATACCACTGTGGGGAGTATGCTAGCTAGTTAGCATTTTTGGCTTATGTTAGAGCCAGCACATACACGGTTTAGTCCATTCCTTCAATTTTGCTGTCATAAGTTGCGCTATTAGAAGGCTAGGTTGAAGCTCAGCTTTCCAAAATCATCACTAAAATCTAAAGTCACCAGCGATCTCATGCAGCTAGTGCTGTAAGCATTACACGATAAACTGATCTGAGTGCAGTAGCAAATCCACCATTCAGTATCCCCATATTTGTATTCAACATAGGCTGGTTAGGTTGTCACTGTTGAGAGATCAGTGGGGAAATAATTTTTTAACTCGCTATGAGTTATGTGCATGTAAAAGGTTATAATGACAGTGTTTAGATCCTCTGCCGCAGCCTATAGACTGGTGAAGGCACATTGAGCGCGGGATAAAGGAATGTTCATTTGTCTGAAGAGTGATAATGGGAAACTTTTGAGTCAAATGCTCTCATTCCTACCCGCATGCACAATGCTTAATGCTTTGCTTACAGTTACAGTTGCTAAGCTATGATTGGACAATAGTTGTTTGGGGTGTGGGGTCTTGGTGAGCAGTCAATTAAGGCAAAGATTGGAGACAAGTCTATCACACTGGAGCCACTGGGACTAAATGAATTTGCTTTGACTCCCTCTGCCATCAAATCACTAAGTTGGCAGGACGGCAGGAAGAAAGTCCCATAAACAAGCTCCTGAGGAGACAATCGGATTTAGCTTGAAATAGACCACACACAAAATACAAAAATAACTTTAAATTCCAACAATAGGCAATTTTTACATAAACTTCTAGGAATCCTGCCAAGAGCTGGTTGACAGTCCAGTGCATCTAACTCATTAGTTAATCTGTCCTAGGTTTGCCCTTTTACCGCATTCTCATTTACTGAACATTTTTATACTTCATTCTTGCTTAACTAAAAAGTTCACCTGTCATTTTAGCTCAGAAAAGTTTGTTTTACTTCCAGTTTGGCACTGTTCCCACCCCGTAGACTTTCTCACTTTGTCAGCTCTGGAGAATGGGTGGCTAATAGCTTCAATCTTGGCTCTGATTAAATAAATGAAGTGGCAGAGATCACAGACAAACTGAGGAAATGGAGAGTAAGTGCTGAATGATTGCAATCAAAGGCTGGCTGGCTGGTGAAAGGAGCTAGCTTACTAATTGACTGCCCTTACAGAAAAACTTTTTCATATGCTAAACAGCAAACCCCAAAGCCGTATAATTAATATTTATGGTCTGTGTGCGTGTGACGGCATAAATCTGTTGCGGCCTTTTGTCAAAATGTTGAGGACTACAAGCTTAGTAATGAGCATCCAAATAACAGCAAGTTTTAGATGATGGACGACATGATGTTGCAATAAGCAGCTGGTGAACTGAGAACAGAAGCCCCTTTCTTTTTAGCTCAGCATCATGACAGTTTGAAATAGAGTTGTAGATAATGGGCAGTGGTCCAACGCAGCACTGATGCTCACAGAGTGTGGATAGATGGGTGGGAATGAATTTGTCAAGAACTGTTTGATGGAAAATCTTTGTCAGGAGAGAATATCTTCACAGCGTTCACTGACTAAATTAAATATCCGGTGGCTAATTTTCTTCTGCGACGACAGAAGGAGCATTGTCTCCTTTTGAGTCCCTGGCGAGCAGTCAGTTATTTAGACAGATCATTTGGCCAGTGTGCTGCAATGTTAAAATTAGTTTTGAACCAAACTGAAAGAAACAGTCTGGGAATAGAATAAAGTTTAAGGTGTGGGTACCTTAAACAGCTTCATTGCTTCAATATTTTTGTGTGTGTGTGTGTGTGTGTGTGTGTATGCTTCTACTCTGTTGGCCCATATTTGTAGTTTTCTTATCTTTTTCCCCTCACACATAACAATACATATCCAAATGACAAATGAACAATACTGTAGACAAAAAGTATTTATACCTGTGCTTTTTTCTGCTGCAATATCAAAATGTGTTCTGAGAAAACGACTGTGTCCCATGTATTAAACATTGGTTTCCAAACACGGAAGTTAAGCATTACTTATGCAAGCTGCTCACTCAGTGTGTAAAGTTGCCATCACTTCCTGTGTTTTCTGCCAGCTCAAATTATTGAAATGAAAATAATTCCTTCTGTTGGACTAATGGTTCAAATTGTGATGATTAAATGATTGATGATAAAGAGGCCTAAATTTGTGTATTGCAGCAGTTTTACAGCTGTTTCCCGTGTACTGACACCGAGTGCGTTATGTGACCTGCTCTTTAGACTTTGGCCACTAAACTAAAATCAGGCCCATTGCTTTCTAGGACAGTTTTTCATCAGATCAGAAAAAAACACACAACCTACTTTCATTAGGAAGTATTGTCATAGTGGCCCTGGCCCTGG